ATTGCATATATACAGGAAGGTACCAGGAGATCAGACAAAAATCCTGCAGCAGTCTGAAAGTATTTCAAAACAGGAGGATAGGAACTGACTAAGATGAGACATCATAATGGGAACTGGCCGCTGGGAATCTGAGGTACAGAAGAAGGAAACAGGAACAGTGATTTGGTTGTCAAAGGGTTCTAGGAAAAAACCAAGCCAATTACCATTGAGCAGATTGTGACTCATGGTGGCTGCGTACATACAGAGTAGAACTGCTCCATTGGGTTTGAAAGGCTAGGACCTTTCAGAAGCAGCTCTCTAAGCCTTCTTTTCATTCAAAATATCTCTGAATGGATTTGAACTGTCAACCACTTGTTTGTAGTTGAGTGCTTAATCATTTACACCATCGAGGAAGGATATATGAATCCCTTTTTTATTTTGTTTTGCGCTGTCCCTGATTGTGATACTAGCTTATTCCAATTGCCATAATATAATGGCCAGGATCCTTAGACACAAACTAAAGCAAATTTCTAACATTAAAAAGAAAGAAAATACTTCCTGTGAGCACTCCTTAGAAATCATCAGAAGTTCACATGAAATTTTTAAGACCAGTCTTTCTACTAACAGGCACTATTGACTTTAATCGCCCGTGAAATGCAATTAGGAGATGGGCAATCCTGCTGTTATGAAGTAGAGCATTAAACCTGGAAATCATCGTTCATCTTTCCTTTGTAAAAAATTAATATGGAACCTCAATTACAATTTTCTGAATTGTCATAAAATTAAATACGTGTGTATGTATGTGATAAAATATAAATAACAAAAATACCATTCTAACCATTTTAACTGTATATTTTAGTGACATTGATTTTGTTCATTATTTAACATTTTACAGTTACAACCAAGAGTTAGTTGGTAACCATCTTACAATAACAACCATTGCCAGAATTTTCCAATGTTTTTCATCATCCCAAACAGAAATTCAATGTGCTTTAAGAAATAACTTCCTTTTCCCCTCCTCCCTAGACCCTTGTGTTCACTAATAAACTTTTGTCTCCAAGCAAAAAAAAAAAAGTGCCATTATCCCATTGCCTGATTCCATGTAAATCATCCACATCTTAGATGCCAGTGGTTAGTAAGGGAACATAGCTGGTCTGTTCAGCTTTCACAGTACGACACAGGGCCCTCTTTCCTACTAAGAATCACAGTAGGGCATATTTTAGAAATGGAAAATTTGATTGCAAGATGTCAAAAGAAAAAGGTTCTGCTATAACTAAAAGAGCATTGCTATAGCATAGCCAAGAATACATAATGTACTTAAAATGTAGAAAATCATTGGAACATCTAATTTATTTCAAACTATGAAGGTAAGTCAAAAAGTGTTGCTTCTGTGACTCTGGTTCATGCATTCACAAGTT